AATGTTTGCCCCCTATGGACGCAACGCCCTTCTTCCCTCCCAGGTCAACAAAAACTTTGCCTAACTTTTTGTCTGATCTATTTGTAATCACATAAGCAATCGCCTTACGAATTGCTTTTCCCATCGAACATCCCGAANCCTTGTGAAGTCATCCTTCAAAATCATGGGGGAATGTTTGCCCCCTATGGACGCAACGCCCTTCTTCCCTCCCAGGTCAACAAAAACTTTGCCTAACTTTTTGTCTGATCTATTTGTAATCACATAAGCAATCGCCTTACGAATTGCTTTTCCCATCGAACATCCCGAACAAGCATGCATTTTAGCGGTCAACTCGATACCTAGTCGCTTTGCAGTGGTCCTAAGCAGCCCTTCATGCGCATGACCATAAATGTTATGAAAATCGTTCACATCCATGATTTTTACGCGCTTGGGGTTTGAAGGGGTGAGGGCAGCCAACACCGATCCAATAGAGTTATGTCCGAGACGATACGCAGTAGCAACAAGCATGCCATCGAAATTCTGAAAAGTAACATGCCCGTGGAAAGCAGTCATCACACCGTCAGGACCACCAAGGCCATTCCATGACTCGCCATCAAACTCTGCGCTGGGAGAGAAAGGTTGTACCCTAACTTGGAGGCAAATAGCACATTCTTCAACTCTGTAGAAAATTCGCTGTCAGCAGACACAAACGCCACTTCAAGAGTTCCTGATAGTGCTTCCTCACAAGTTACGCCACCAATTCCTTTTACTTTCTTGTGGCAAGGTTTCACATCCTTCATGCAAGAGAGAGAGTCTGTCATGTGGAAAGCTGTACCCGTGTCCGCATACCAATCTTCGATGCATCTATCCTTCTTCGTAAGAGTGGAGTGTTCGCGAATAGAATCACGGACAACACGGTCACTGCCGACGTACTTCTTCAACTCATCCTCTGCTTCGGTATACAACGCTTCAAGATACATGGTATCATGGTGTTCCAAAACAGCATCATTTCTACTGCTACCACGGGACTCCTGCCACTTCTGCATGATTTTGGCATACATTGCTGCAATGTACTTGCCACCACTCCATTCGCTTGAGTTGGCTTGAGATAACAACAACACCAAGTCAGACTTCTCACCGTTCTCATCCTTGTCGTCCTCGGATGGTCCGGTCTGAGAGGGATGAGCTATCACACGAGCCAGAGCCAGGCAGTCCATCTTCAAATGACCCTTCTCCCTACACTTGAAACACTTCCCCTGAAAAATCTTTTTCTAGACGAATCAGACTCGGAGTTAGACTTTGACTTCTGGTTCTGCTTCTTCGCACTCTTCCTCACAGGTCTAGACATGAGTGCAACACTGTGTTTCTTCGGACCAGGTTGAGTCAGCAAGTCGAGATACCTCTCACGCACTTTAGTCTCTATGAACGACGGNCTGGTTCTGCTTCTTCGCACTCTTCCTCACAGGTCTAGACATGAGTGCAACACTGTGTTTCTTCGGACCAGGTTGAGTCAGCAAGTCGAGATACCTCTCACGCACTTTAGTCTCTATGAACTATGGATCATTCGGACAGAACACCACCAGAGTTTCACGCAGGGTCTTATTATACTCATGTGACAATCCCTCGAGCATCAGGTTGCATACCTCTCTGTCATCTTTCTTAACTTCCAGCATCTGAAGCACACCAAGCGTCTCTCTCATAGATGTAAAGAAGATGGAGGGATTCTCATTCGAACGCATGCGCAATGACTTGAGTTTCTCCTCTTGCACACGAATCTGACTCTGGCTCAACGGTAGGAAGTGATCTTTGAGCACTCGGAACGCCTTGCTGGGGGAACCAGCGTGCCTAGCCATAGTTTTCAGACTTTCCTTCTTCAAGCAATCAAACAGAAACCACCATCCCATTTCAGCCTGACGCAGCACACCCACACTGAATCCTTTCTCTACCCAGGGGGTCAAGTCGAAACCAATGTCAGCAATTGGAATCTCAGTCTCAGAAACAAACGCTTCAAACAGATTGTTGTGCCGGGCACTCAGCAGAAAATTCTGTGACCACGAGGGATTGGACACGTCGGTCCCATCGAAAACAGGAGCCTCGGGGACTTTAAGGAGGATTCTTAACGAGATTTGTTCTGTTGGAATATGCCGACATGCGCCCTACTTTT